TTCTGCTTCATTGTTTCTCTGCCAATTGCTCCCCAAGAGGCTGCGTTTCCACATGCACAAGACACCCCAAGAATGCAAGTAAACAGGGAATCTCCAAGAGGGGAGACCGAGCTGTCAGCTGACAGGTTAGCACCACAGTGATGAGGATTACAGGCTTAGGTGGGGACAAATTATCCAAGCTACCAGGGGAAGGGAAGCACCTGATCATGCCACTGCACCCAAAACTGGCACTTGGCTAGGGTTCTTAGCTGTCAGGTGACAGGCCCGTGCTGTGGGGAAAAAGGGAGCCCAGACTTCCAGCGTGGGACAGCTGTTGGCAAAGACTAAAACATAAAGAGTGCCTCAGCCCACCGTCAGTTAAGAGAATGGCCCCAGATGGCCAGTAGTGCCACCTATTAGAAAAGGCAAAAGAAAAAAAAGGCTAAGGTTTTGTTGACCAAAGTAGCTTGTGAGTGATGGTCTGCCCAGTGCACAGCAGGGAGTCTTTATCTCAGTTGCTGCACAAGCCTAAAGCCTGGCTAGGGGAAAGTCTTTTACTTTTTTTAAATTTCTGCACCTAAGGGCTGGCCCAGTGGCGCACTGCTACAGTGCACCGCTTGGGAGCGCGGTGGCGCTCCCGCCGAGGGTTCGGATCCCACGTACAGACCGGCCGCTCACTGGCTGAGCGAGGTGCGGGCGCAACACCAAGGGTTGCGATCCCGTTGCCGGTCCCGGTCAGTTACGGGCGCGACACTGAGGGTTGCGATCCGTTGCCAGTCACGAAAAAAGACAAAAAGGAAAAATAAATAAATTTCTGCATCTAATAATGTGATAGCTACAAGATATTCCTTTCTACAAAGACATAATTGCTGGTGTTGATTTGGAGTGTCGGAGCATGGTGTTGATTTGGAGTGTCGGAGCATCTTTGTTCTGTCTTCCTAATATTTACGAGGGGAAAATAAGGTGCCTGTAGCTGTTTTCTAACAGTTTCACTTTCTGTCTTTGTGATCCTAGACCTGTGATAGGAAAAACCAACAGCTCTAGATAATACTCCTGACCTTTTTTCCTTGTGGTCCAAGGCAGAACAGAACAGCCAGGACGCCCTTGGGTCTAGCGGTTCATCCCAAATGTTGCGGGGGCCCCTCCCCCGCACCCAAATCAGACCATTTCTCCCTATCTTTAATAATTGCCCTTTACTTTTTGGATCATTTCCAAAATCCAAGCCCTATGCTAAAAATTCCTTCATCCTCTTTCAGTGACTGGCCACCCTATATTAAGATTTCACACACTTGCTCTTACACACACACACACACACACACACACACACACACACACACACCATATTCCATATTCCTGCTTTATGTCTTCTCCTTAGAACTCAACACGAAACCAATTTTATAATTTACTTATTTATTGTCTCCTGTATTGGCTTTTCTTTTAGAAGAATAGAAAGGTTTTCTACTAGTCTTCCCCTAGTAGAAGACCTATTATCAATAAAAATTTTTCACTATTTTCACTGCTGTGTCCCCAGAACCTAGAACTGTGCCTAGCACAGAATAAATTATTTGTTGAATGAAGGAACAAGCCAGGGGTTTGGGGCTCTTTCGGGCCTATCCTGCATTCTCCATTAGTACCACAGAAACTTCAAAGGCCTCACCCTTTCCTGACTCCAAACTGTCTCCAGGTCAATTCCAGAAACTTAAAATGCCATCTCCCATTCAATCAAGCCCCTCACCTCCCGCCAGTGGTCTGTTTAAATGTGGCTCCAAGCCCTATCAAGTTCATCTTGATACTGCTCATGTCTGTTCCATCATCCCCATCACTATTGTTGTCACCTGGGTTTCAGCCATTGCCAGCCCCACCTGGGATTTACTCAAGCAGCTCATTAGCCTCTAGGCTCTACCCTTCCCACCCACACTCCCTAGACATACCAGAGTGAGCTTTCTAAAACTGCAAATCAGATCACCCAAGCCTCCTGCTGCAAGCCCATTGGCAGTACCTATAGGGTCAAGTCCAAACTCCTTCCTTGTTGCCCACAGCATTCGTCCTCCTGATAACCTACTTATGACTGCCCAACCCCAAAAGCAACACATGTCCCAGCCTTGGCCCACACTACTCTTGTGTCTACCTGGGGGGCCACTGCTTGTTCTCAGGATCCACCTCAAGTCCACACACCTCTCTGAAGCATTCCCCGACGCTTGGACACAGTCTGCGACATTTACAACTGTGGGCTCACTGAGATCGGGAGCTATCAAGGGACCATCTTTGCATCCACAGTGCCAGGTGCACAGTAGGAGCACAGTAACGATTTTAGAGTGAATATGCAGAAATGATGAAATTCCATCCTCCCACAAAGAGTGCACAGATCAATTAGACAGAAGCAGGTCCTACCCTGCTGCCAGACTGGTGCTAGAACCCCTGCTTGTTCTACTGATGTTCACTTCCACAGAGTCCTCGATGGGGTACTTTTTAACCCATTATCAGAAAAGGGACAAGAGGTAAAGATTAATACCCAATATTGCACAGAGCAAATATCTGCCACAAGCCCAAGACAGAAAGCTAAAATAAACCTTGTGTATATAAGCTCTACCCCGTATATGAAAGAGTCTTGTACAAACTATGCTATCGTCTCAATCTAGCAGCTTTGTACATCAGGACAGTTTCAAAGAGGGTCAGGAAGTGTGTAGATGCACTCTATTACTTGAGTTCTGTCCATAAAGGTTTTCAAAATGAGCTGAAGAGAGCAAAAACCATGGTGTCAGGAAAATAGTTAAAGGAGGGAATACCATATTAAAAAATCAACGGTTTAGCTAAGCCTATCTTTCCCTACATGCACTACCAAAACTTTTCCTTTATACCCTGCACACAAATTTAAAGAAAAAGTTTATCTACCAAATTGACACTATTTGAGGTTTAAAAGAAAATCAACAAACCCACTCTAGCTTTTTTTTTTGTCAGTGTCTTTGAGATCCTTGACCTATAAATTGAAAATTAAATTACCAATGAATTAACAAAAATGGGTATTGCCAAAGATTCAGTGACTTGGCGATTTCCAAACCTACTTCCTAAATACACTGTTTTATTTTTTATTTTTAAAATGCAAGTAATACAGCCGGCCCGGTGCGGCGCTTGGGAGTGCTGCGGCACTCCTGCCGAGGATTCAGATCCCATATAGAGACCGGTCCGCTCACTGGCTGAGCGCGGTGCAGGTGCGACACCGAGGGTTGCAATCCCGTTGCCGGTCGCGGTACGGGCGCAACACCGAGGGTTGCGATCCTGTTACTGGTCACGAAAAAAGACAAAAAAAAAAAAATGCAAGTAATACACCATACAAGGTACAACTTACAAAATTGCTACTATCATTGTCCTTTGGCCCATCATATTTAATTTAACAGTGCGCACAGCTCCATTCTCTGGAATCTGTCTCATAATCCCTGAGGACAGAGTCCTAAAAATGCCAAAACATTAAGCAAGGGTTACATCCACACCCCACTTCACTGACATCTTCAGGCTCAAAAGCAGACTCCATCCTCCTAAACAGAAAGTCACTTGTCAGGGCGGATCGTTCAAGTGAACTGCGAAGTGTAGTTTCAACCTTGTCAATGTTTCATTTAAAGCTCTCGAGGTCAAGGGAATTCTCAGGTGAAAATATTTTTCTACTACATCCACAAGTTCTTCAATTCACAAAATGAATATAATAAAGAAGAATCAGAAGAAGGATAAAGCACCCTTGCCAGATAACAAATAAATAAATAACGTAGGGAACTCACATCGCAAGCCAGAGAGAGAAAATGCCACTTGAGCATATAGGATTATTTCAAGGCCGACAACCTATGCAAGTCCTAAAACTCAACCACTCGCCTCTGATTTAATCTACTACTTTTCCTTCTGAGGATTCCCTTTCCTGGAGCTTTTAAGTATGTAATTACGCAGTGTGTGGGCACACAAAATACAATACAGCTTTATAAATGTAGGCCTTTAAAAATCAATGTTATTTTCTTTACATAGTTCCAAAGTAGATGTTCCCCTTAATCTGGAAGATTTTACTAAAACATAAGGACGGTTAAAAAGACTAAGGGGAGTGGGTGAGAAATGTAGCAGATTACTCAGAATCCTTATATTTGGTCCCATTTATATATACATCAATTCCCAGACCTCAAAGACTTTTGTCCTATATCAAAATAAGGAAATAAAATAAGCAGCAGCCCAGTAAAAACATCAAGAATAGCAGTAAGGAGTTTAAACCCAAGGACATGGGGAGGAGAATATAAACACTCCTCTGGGTGCATTTCTCACTTTCAAATCACCCAGTGGCTTAGGTTCAGTGTTCTAAAATGTATTCAGTGTTCAGCATATGTGGTAAGAAAAATACCATGATAATAAAGGATCTCCACATAAATGAAAGTTGAAAGCTGAAAATGCAAACATTTTTAAAAATGAGACCCAGGCAAAAGGCAGTGTGCACTTGGAGGCATATAATTCCATCTAATTCTCAAGAGTCCTGCAGGGCAGGACTGACTTCCCCTATGTTGACGATAAGCAAAGTGTGGCCTAGAAAGGAGAAAGGTTTTATTCTTCTCATTTTTGTAAAAAGGCATAGAGAAATGTTTGGGTGGGACGTAAGGGTGGCCAAATGAAATACAAAGGCAATTTCTTTAAATGCTCCAAAATTCTGCCTACTGAAGCACTGGGAGACCCTTACATTCATGGGACATGGCCTCAGAATTTCAGAAATGTGGACAGCTGACTGGTCATGCATGCATTTTCAAAGTTCCCTTTCCTTCTAAAGGTCTCACATGGGTCAGCACCACTCCAGTGTCCCTTTCTGCAGTGTGAATAGATCTGAGATATTTGACCACTGGACAAAAAGTCACACTGATCCTGAGATTCCCCCTAGGTAAGGTATCCCGAGACAACTGAGCTGCCTCCAGACACTGGTGCTGGAAAGAGATCTTTTGTCATTGTTGTTTAATACAAACAGGATCAGGGAGGGAGATGACGAGGCAAAGAAATGCACATACCTTTCAACTGGTCAGCAACCATGCTCTGGCCAAGGCGCTCAATGACTTTCCCATCTTCCATTTCGTACCGGTCATCTAAATATTTTGCAGTAGCCTCAGAAATGTGAACTTTGCCGGCCACTCCCAGCTGCTCCATGAGATTGGCCAAGTTCACATCATTGGACCACACGTCGAATTTAAACCTCCTCATGCCCAAAATACCACACAAAACAGTCCCCGTGTGCACCCCGACACGCATGTTCACCATTTCTTTCTTCTCCTGGCAGAACTGCTCGATGGCTTTTATCATGCCCAAGCCCATTTCAATGCAGCAGTAGGCATGGTCTGCTCGGGGCTCAGGACACCCTGCCACACAGTAGTAACAGTCTCCCAGAGTGCTGATTTTCTCACACTTGGTCTCCTCGCACAGCCGGTCAAAGCGACCAAACAGATCGTTCAGGAGACCCACCAGGGCATGAGCGGACTTGTTGGCACTCATCTTGGTGAAGCCCACGATGTCTGCAAATAAGATACTGACTTCTTCGATCTGCTGCATCTTAAAGGGGCGGAATGCTATGGGAGCTTTCTGTATGGATGACTTTTTCTTCCTGCTCTTGGGGCTCGAGGTGGCATGCCTCTTGACAGAATTCTCGCTCTCTTCATCCCCCTGTTTCATTAAGTCATCAGCGATGATTCTCGGCATCACAGAATGAATCATCCTCTCTTTGAGGGCTTTTTCTACTTCCAGGTCTTTTCCGTGCATAATTGACTGCCCCACCTTGAGGAAGGTGCTCCTGGACCTCACCTGAGACATGATGAAGAGGTGGATCCCGATGGCGTGAATGCAGACGTGGAGCAGGGCCCTGCTCAGCAGCTCCCAGTGCAGGGCGCCGTCTCCAGGAGAGGGGAAGCAGTCTTCGTCCCGGAAGTGATAGCCAAAGGTCTCAAAAAGAACAGAATAGGCCACCCCCAAACATAAGCTCAAGTACAAAGGTAAGTGCATGACGGTGTAAAGCAAAAAGAGCACTTCGATGCACATGGAAAAGCTCCCCACTTGAGATAAGCAAGTGTCTGTGGGCCTGGCTGCGGGAGTCTGATTGGAGCTGTCAACGCGTCCTGAGAAAGGCGTCAAAACCTGAAACTGCGCAGCCAGGGTCAGGGCGAACACCAGCAGGGTGAGAGCCAGCGAGGTCCACGCGTAATGCCGGGCGTACAGCTTGGTAAAGGTAAACAGAAAAAAGCCCCCACACACTAGGAGGAAGCACAGGGCGGGGGCGACCATGACAATCAGCTTGGATCTCATGTGCACAGCAAAATAGATGCTCCAGAGGAGGCAGGCGAAGCCGATGTAGAAGAGCGCGTAGCGGAACCGGCGCTGGGTCTGCGGGAAGCAGCGCTCCAGACAGGCCTCCTCCAGGTTTACCGAGTCGAACTTGGGGTCCCACCAGCGGCTGGAGGCCCTCTCGAACAGCTGCGGCAGCTTCTTCTGCCTGCGCAGGCGGCCTCCGCCGACCACTCTCCGGGGAACGCCCCCGGAGTCCCCCGAACTGCTGCAGCTGGAGGAGATACTGTACTTGCAGTGCTTGGGGTGGCTGTTGGAGGACAGCTGCTTGGGGTTGATCTTGACTCTCACGCTGTTGCTGTCTCCGCTGGAGTCGCAACTCACCTCGGTGCTGTGGTGCTGCAGCAGCTGCTGGTGGGGAGGGGAAGCCATGTTGCCGCGTTCTCTGAGCCCTCTCGGGCCGCTCCCTCGTACCTGCCGGGAGACAAGCGGAGTTACTCGGTGTGTCTGCGCGCACACACGCCCCTGAAGGCCGAGAGCGCCCCTCCTGTGCTAGGAGGTGGCTCCGGCAAGCGGCTGGCAAAGGCACCGTATGCTCGCGAAGACTGCCAATACAGGCGATCGACGCCCCCCGTCCCACCTCCGCGGCGCGCCCGGATCCCTGCGGACGGACCTGGAGCGCCCCGGGTCCTGCGAGCGCGGCCGCCCGCGGTCGGTTCTGCCTCGGCCGCCGGCGGCTCCAGCCGCGGCTCCGGAGGGAAGTTCAGACCTTGAGCGCCCGGCGCGGCGAGCCGCCTACGCATAAACAACCAGGCGGTGGCAGCCGGCAGCCCTTCATCCCGCAGAAAGCGGCGCTCCGGTGCGTCAGCGGCCACGCGAG